CTTCTTAGTATTTAACAGAGAAGACTACAAGGGGACCTAAGACAAGAATTCAAAATCCTCAAGGGCACTGAAAAAGTCATCCCAGTAGATTTCTTCATAATGAACATTGAAACATAAAGTAGAGGGCACAAGTGGAAACTTAGGTGAAAGTGGATTTTAAACCAAGAGCAGGTGGCAATTCTGTACCAAAGAGTCGTGGAAGTATGGAACAACCTTCCCAGCCATATTGTTGAAGCTGAACTGGTTTCTTTCAAGAAATGGCTAGATGAGATCTTCCAATTAAGACAGGAGATATTACTTTACACAATGGGTAGTGGGTGTATGGAATAAGCTGCATTGTACATTTAAGTGGTCATAAGAACACAAGAAGGAGAATATGTGGCCTGTCTCACCAATTTGGGAGTTAATAATTAATTATAGCACTAGTGTAATAGTTAATTATACTACAGTGCTAGTGAAGCATTCACACTGAATTTCACAATTCTTCTAGCATGGAAATTATTTATTTCCAGTCACGACAAGCATCCTACCTATTTAACTTTTATATTGCATGTCTGAGGAAATTTGCACTAGTATTTTCACATTTGGCACGGGGCTTGTTGAGATAGGTGTTCAGATGTGCAACATATAAATATAAAATTCAACCTTGTGCTGAAAATGGTTATTTTAACACAGGAAAGCGATCTTTCAATCCAAAATTGGAAAGACTGTGTCATGTCCTTGCACTCTCTTATCATTCTGCCAATTCACAAAAAATGAAAGAGCAAAGGCCTTTTGTAGCTGCTCAGGAGTGATGAAGTCAGCATTATCTTTCCATGAACATGGCTAAAAAAAAGAATACCATTAGGGGCAGCCACTGTGGTTCCTCCTGAATAGTGTGTGAGGAAATCCTTTTAACAGGGATTTTGTAATTACATCCTGTCAGCTGAAACTGAATTTATTTGTATTCTGCACTGAACACCCAATACAGTTATGTGGATATTGATATTTGGGCTAAATATATAGTATTTACACAGTTTCCTCTTTTCAACATTAAAATCTCATTTATCTCATTTATGTAATTGACACCTATTTTGGTAACCTGAGGCCTCCAGGAATTACACAAACAGCCTTGAACTGATGTTGTATCAGCCCATCTTCGCCAAGCCAAACTGCCCAGTTGTTGAGTACTCCAACATTGTCAGACTCCTGTTGTATGTGTTACAAGCAGGAAATAACAATTTCAGGTGGCAGTAAATAGTTCTCGTTTACATGGAAGCTGATAATTGAAACACTACGTTCTCTCACCACGAAAGCAGAAGCAGTGCAAGTGAAACATTCGGCACTGAATTTTAGAGCCCTATAAATTATTTCAGATCTTGGCTAACGTTAAATAATGGACAATTTTCCTAACCATCAACTTCACTTATTTTGAACATATTGCTTTGCCTCCGTTGATGCTAAATTAGGTGTGAAATGACTTGAGACGAAACAAAATCACCAGCGCAACATGATTTGAGTCATTATAAATTTTTTATTCACCAAATGATATGAAAAGTTCATTTTGTGTTTAGAGTAGGAGGATGACAGTTACTAGAGGACACTGAGAAATTTTTATATGTTTTCAGAAAACGTCTGACCTTTTAAGCTGTCATCTCAAAGATTGAAACTATACTTCCGTGTCACGGTTTTTATTAAAATCATGAAACACGATTATCTGAGTGATACCCCGGCATGACCGTATGTATGATTTGCATTTTAAGGCGGTTTGATTTTTTTTTTTAGTTTTTGGAAAGCGTATTAAAAGTATTACACTGTAATTTTGGCCGTAGCAGAAATGGAAACTGCGCTAGGAAGACCACTTAAAACAACATTTTCACCACATGACTGATGTACCCCAAGCGCTGGATATGCACAATAAACGCCAGTGTCCCACTATATAAGCCCTAGTATTTATTAGCTGTGTAACAAGAAAGGCACTTTTCTGAATATAAGTCAGGAATACAAGTTGCTATTTACGCAAGTCTCCTGTTGTGTTCCTATTTGTATCATCCCGGGTGGCTTGCCAAACGCAGTGAAAGAAAGCATTTTTTTAGAATATCTGAAGTCAAATTCTCCAAGGCCCTGGGGGTATGTAATAGCCTATTACTTTTAGCTTTTGCAAAAAGTACATTTAAACCAGAATTACACCCCCTGCTTAGCTTCCACTGCTTTCCTTGTCATCGTTTACTCTTCTGCAATTCATTCCTAACAGCCTCCATTATTTTCAGGAGTTCCACCTGGCTTAATATTAATAAGGCACAAACGGCACCTTTTGTCCACAATCCAGATGAATGTAACTTGAACATAATGATTAAATACTTACAAAAATGTACAGCATATTTATATACACGTACTGTATAGTCGCTATGAATCAAACAAATCAGAATCTTATTTATCTCAAAACCCTTTCACAAACCTGGACAGCATAAAAATATAAAAATAGGTCTATTTCCAAATGTCACGTAAAGTCAAAGCAGCTACACTCAGCTGTTTCATCCTTAGTAGAGTTTCTGAAATATTATATACAAACATTATATGTTTGTCTATGTACGGTGTCTTGCAAAAGTATTCAGACCCAAAGTGGTCTTATCAATTTATCCATTTTCTAACTGCATTATCCAACACTGTGTCGAAGGAGAGCTGGAGCTATACCTGAAAGCAACAGGCACAAGGCAGGATACACTCTGGACAGGATGTCAGTCCGTTGCAAGGCACACAGTGACACAGACACACACACTCACTCCAAGGCCAATTTCCCCAGAAGCTAATTAAATGATCAGGTTGTTTTTGGACTGTGGGAGAAAGCCAGAGCACCCAAGGGAAACCCACACCAACATGGGAGAATATACAAACTCCACAGAGATAGCACCCCAGGAATTGAACCCAGGGCCCCAGTTCCATTTGGTGAAATTACAAAATACTTTACAGTACTGTATAATATTTAAACTTGATATCTGATTAAAAACCTGAATAATGAAACCTTAGACTTCTAAGATTAAATAAATTACAGTAAATGTACAGTAACTGAACAGCAAAACCTAAACAGAAAAAAAATGAAAAAATGTTCATGATCCCATAAGTATTCAGACCTGGAAACACAATATGTGGTAGAAGCACCTCCGGCAACAATTACAGCTACAGGCCTTTTTAGTTAAGTCTTGTAGAAATCAAGAGATTCGAGCCTGAAGTGTCCGTTCGTCAAGCCAAACTTTATTGTATGCATACAAGGAACCACAACAAGGACCAGAGTAGTTATAGTAGTTCAAAGGGGATATGGCTCTACACAGCTTATATATACTTTTCTCTACACCCTCCCCCTCCTGTCTTTGAGGTAGATTTCTCAAGAAACTCCAGGACTCAGAAAGCACTTAAAACATTCCTTTCTTATCAGGAGTTTAGTATAAACATTCCCCATCAGGGAGTTTAGTACAGGAGATGGGAGTTCAGTACAGGGATGGAGAAGCATCTGTGCTAAAGCAAGCATGAAGGTTAGAGTTTAGAATGTGAATTCAGCAGGAGTTCACAGCTCCTACCACTATCTGGGTACAGAGTAACATACAGATTCTGCTAGCAGACTCCATCAGTCTCTATCAACATTGCACATTGACTTGGTGTAATTTTTGTCCATTCTTCCTGCCACATTTTCTCAAGCTCTCTCAAGTTGCCCGGGGATCACTTACTTTTTAAGTCTTTCCACGGATTTTCAACACTCAAAGACGTTCACTTTCTTATTCTTGAGTCACTTCAGTGTAGCTGTGGCCTTTTTCTTTGTATCATTGTCCTGCTGAAAGGTGACATTTTGTTCTGGAGATCCCAAACTAATTTTATTCTAGGATCTGCCAGTACATTGTTCAATCTATGACCCCCTCAGTCTTGACAAGCTTCCCAGTCTGACCTGAAACAGAACTATAATGTAATGCTGTTGCCACCACGCATTTTAGTAAGGATGGTGCTGACTACCTGGTGGGTTTCCATCAGATGTAACACTTTGCATTTAGACCAATTTTGTCTTGTCTGAACCTTTGGCCAAGTTTGGAATATCACAGGCTCTGTTGCTTACCCATGCTGGATTTGAGATGTTTTGATGTCCATACCAAAAACCTTTGTGGAGTGACTGGGATATTCTGGACCCATGAATATTTTCTCACATCTCACAGCCATTGAACTCTGTAACTCTATTAAAGCTGTTGGCCTCATGGCAACCAGTTTCCTCTTTTTAATTGCGGCTCAGTCTGTAGGGGCGACCTGATATAAGCAGTTTCTAAGTCCCTTAGTCTTCTTAATGATTGAGTTCACCATGCTCTAAGCGTGGGTCTTTGAAATGGTTTTATACCCTTCTCCTAATCCACCTTAATACAACTTTATCCCTGGGTTATTTTGAAAGCTCCATGGTCTTTGTGGTTGAATATTTGCTTGAAATAATCAAATTAAATGTGAAGGACCTTACAGAGATAGGTATATGTATTCTAAAATCATGTGAACCACCATTATTACACACAGAGGCCATTCAACTAATTGCATGGCTTGTTGATGTTATTGTTAAATTTAATGTAGATGTCACAACAAAGGGTTTGAATAGGTATGTGATCCTGTCCAACCATTTTTCTTTCATGTTATCTATTTACTTCTATCATTTATTTTTTATACTGAATTTGAGGATTAGGATGTGTACTGTATATAACAAGTATTAATTACTACTTATGTAACACTTTGTATTTACTACTCCAAAGTGTCATAACTGCTAGCTTTAAATAAAGAGATAGAAAATCTGTGCAAGGGTCTGATCATGTTTGCAAGGAACTGTCTGCATTTAGGTCTATAAAGGGTGACAAAGAGGTCTACCTACAGTATAGGAAATAGATAATTAAAGAAAAACGTGTGTATGTAAAGCTGTTAAATTCAGCAAATAAATAGGAACTGTGCGTTACAATTTGCAGAAATATGTCAAGTTTAAGTTTGTTTGCTGCAGAGGTTGTGTCAACTTCCTTTTACTTAGAAAATCAATAAAACATGTAATTTGGCCAGGGGTGCTCGAAGTTTTGCATACAACTGTACACTAAAAAGTTTACCTAAAAGTAAATGTGATAGCTCCGTGAGACAGAAAAACTTTACTGCTCTTTTCTACTCCTCTCAGGTTTACGTTCTGTAGTTTTTATAAGGTCCTTTAAGTATGCGAAGTCTCTGGAAGAGCAGTTACTAATGTAGGTGCCTCCCTTAAGCTGGCCCTTACTTATCACAGCTCACTGTTCAATACGAGCTCTGAATAGTGTCTGGTTGTGGTCTGGGTGTCATTGTTTTTTTGCACAAGTTCCTTTAGAACAGCTTTCCCTCCCAGTCCACTTCAGCCTGTTTTTGGCAAATACAGAATAAGCTTTGTCCATGAGAGACCTGATTCCTGGCAGGGAAATGAAGTGAGCCAGCCAGGCAAGACCCACTGCAGTGTACATCACCTTAAAAGCTGGAACCCCACAGTGAACCTAAGGGGAAAAAAACAAGAATGTAGACTTCAATTAATGGAATATAAATAAAATACTAAAAGTTATGTGTCAATCATTTGGAGAGCCAATAAAGACTATATTATCAAACGCTTACCAAAATATTTGATTATTATTGTTATTTCCACAATACTGTATATCCAACATGCACCTTTAGCAACCTTTTTTTCCCCATGATGTGGTACGTTAATTCACTGTTGAAGTTTCTTATCGTGATCTCCACTTCATTTTTGAAAACAAGGTCTAAAGTTAAAATCCATTGGTTTCATTTTCGCTTTGTCTCTTCCTTGATTTGATTTTTCAGAAAATGGGAATAAATCAAATTATTGAGCAATCTCCCTGTTAATCTTTTTATGTTCTATAACACATTTAATTTGTGACAGAGAACACATCTCCAGTATAGCATGGTTGTTCTTTTTAAAAGGAGAAAAGATAGCACCTTATTGAATTCTTAATCTGTTCCACTTAAAATACCAGAATGCTGTGTATCAAGAAATGCTGCACTTGAAAGCCTTTTCTTCACAAAAAAAGAACTTTTTTAGTGTTTACACTCCAAATGGAAAATGCCTACTATAGAATTTTAAATGATACTGAAAAACTGCCATTTTTGAGCCTCTAAACGTTAAGCACCATTATGGAGCTATTTCACATTTGAAAATCCTATTTTTCAGAGTTGTTATAAAAATGTTCCTTTGCAAAATAAAGGATAAACTACACCTATCAGGAAAACTGGCACCACATTCAGAAAAGATAGCAAATAGAGGAATATATATGTACTGTATAAGCAAAAGGTATCATTAAATAACAGGATCTCTGGGTAGTCTCTCCCTTTCGTTTAAAAAATCTGTGGACAATTTCACAGACCAAACGTTGTACTGGATGGGGAAATTGGAAAAATGTGAAATCGATTGTGTGGATTGCAATTCTATTTTCTTTTACTCACTTTCCATCATTTGCTGTGTTGTGTAGCATTACTGTCAGCCCCAGCCTGAAAACTACTGATAATAGCCGGGGAGGCCAGGACTATTGCCTTTGGAGAAAAAGCCAAACAATGTGACATGCAACTACACAGCAGGTCAATGAAAACCACACAACTATGGTACTCGCAGCTGTAGCAAATGGGCATACTATTCAAGGCAAAGAACAGTCTCCTTCCCTGCATCCCTAACAGCCATTACACCTTATCTTTTAATAATTTCCCCTACCTTATCTTTTTCATCAATCACATGCATTTGCTCCATTGCCACCTCATAAGTGATTCCCCCATACTTCATTCCATCGTAGTCCTTCTGGGAGATATCAATGAACTCCACTTTGCCCTGTTGACGCTGCTGCAGATACTGCAGACACTTGATTTCCTTCACACAGATTGGACACTCTCCATCATACAGCACCTGTGTCAACATTCACACAACAGGAAAACATGGGTGTTCAAAAAGGGAGCGGTTGTAGCCTCCTTTGCAGATCTGCAAATATCCTACTGCCCTCCCTGAAATCATTAATGGCAGCTGTCTCTTTGGGTCACTCCAGAAGTATGTTTTGGAGTCTTTGGAGCCTCTTATGACTGTATAGTAGGTATTGACTCCATCTTAAATACTTGTAGTACAGTCGTTGTAACACATCTGCTTCCATGCCAAAAGTATTTAAGATATTTTTGTCTATCCATGGGCTAATGCATGTTGTTATTTTCATCCATGGCAAACAGTGAAAAATTAATTCAACACATCAGCCTTTTCCCTTTTACTGTCCAGACATCTCCCATTGCTAAACACAAAGTTCATTCGAACAAAGATCACGCAGCAGGTTGTGTGCTGTCAGAGATTCTGGGTTAAACTGGAATCTTGTAATACTGTACAAATGTATAATCAATCAGTTGAATTTGTGTTGAACTTCTCTTTCTTTTTCATTTAGAATGAGAATTTTAGTAGAATTTTACAATTACTTGAAAATCTACAGTACAGTCATTGGCTTGCATTATTGTACGTAATTACATGTATGTTATCAATGATTATGATAAAAATAAGCATTTTGGGCTTCATATTTCATTAAGACACTATTTTCATTAGGTTATTACAGGATGTGATATTTTCAATAATAGTTCCGCATTACTATACTAAGTATTTACATCTTGCGGTGCACATAGAATGGGGGCTACAACTACCCCCTTTTTCAGTAATATCATACAGAAGTACAATACAATAAACTAATGTTTGGTGAAAGCAGTATTATAATCACAGGAATATTTCACCATCAATAATTTACAGCAGAAGCAAGATGATGGATTGTTTTAGGGAAGAGGTATTTTAAACTGAAAAACATGTTTCACAGAAGATGCTTTCAAAAGGGAAATGTGAATGCTTATTTTTAACCAAGGTTGTTTCTGTTTGCTGTTTTATTATAGACCAACAAAAGCTTGGTTCTACTTCTATGCTGCAAATGTAAGATGTAGGGAAATTAAACACCAAACATGTTTTGCATTGTTATTTATTGGTGATTCTTTGTCACCTTTTTATTTTTTAATGCTTAAAGACCTTCAACTGAGCAGGATTTCACACAGTAAATTAATTCTTTAAAACACATGAGACTAAGCTCTTACGGTTTTTTAATCAAATTTAACTTTCTACACAGTTTTTGGAAATTGTTGTACTTAAATCAACTGATTCTTTCACCCTATTGGGGCCTCTAAAAGGTGTACCATAATTCTAAGCACATGTCTAAGTACAATACCACATCTGATGAAAATCATATGACAAAACTGATCTGCATTTAAAGCACAAAAAGCCTCAAACCCTGCTTTACTACTGTCCTCTAAATAACCTAGCATATAAATAAATATAGTAACAGAAAAATTACAGTTTGTGCCTTTCTACCTTGTCATTACAAATGTTTACTAAGAAAGATATTCTACATTTCTTCACAAATTTACATGCATGGTATCTCCTGAGTAACCAACTTGCAAAAATTAATGGACATAAATTGTGTCATTAAAAAAATGATTTACTTTTGCACAGAAAGATAATTAATTTCATTATGCAGGCAGTGTATTAATTCTAATTAAGAGCAAGAGAAAAGAAGCCAGGATGAGGCTATAATTTATGGAAATTGTGAAGTAATTGCACAGTTCATAGCAGTAATTACTATGTTTCCTATAACAGATTAGATGAAGAAATTAGAGCGAACACTTCATGTTAGGGATAACACGACATCCATCAACAACATGTGCATATTTACAGTCACTGACAGCATTAATAAACATTTTCAAGCATTCTTATTTTTTTACAAAATTTAATTAAGCCAGTATTGCTACCTAGACTCAACATGCTTTCTGCATGTTCCATTATTAAGAGTGTTTTGATACAGCCTTCTGTGATTTTGATCTCAGTAGACGAAACAATTAGATATTCAGAACAAACCTTTATGTTTTGGATAAATCACTTGGGTCCTGCAATACAGTGCCCCAAAAATGTTTGTGAACCCCAAAGATAAATATACAAATTTCAGTTTTACCATAATAGTCTTCTGGAATCAAAACCAGTCTTTATGTATCACATAAGGTTTATAATAACCATTTAATTGTCTCTTAATGATGAATTAAAGATGAATTAAACAAATGATGAGCAATTTAGGTACAGGACAAAAAGTAAGTGAAACCCTAGTTTCATTAGCTCAGTTAAGGGAAACATGTTTAGAAGGCCCCACTCCATATAAACAGCGGAAATGTGAGTTTGGTCTTCATCATACAGGTGTGTGGACAGAAGTCATGCCATGATATAAGGGAATCTCTGAAGAGGAAATGAGTTAATGATATTCATGTATTTGGAAATGGTTGCAAAGCCATTTCTAAGGATGTGGGGCTCTACCAACCCACTGTTAGACAGACAATCTTGGAAAAAAACTCAAGATTGCACCCAGGAGTCTAGGAAAATCTCTCCAAGAACAAACTGGAAAATCACCAAAGCACGGTACAAAGGAAGGAACTGCAGGCTACTCTCGCATTGTCTTAATGTGACTTTGCATGACTCAGCTCTTTGTAAATGACTGAACAAGAATGTTGTTCATGGAAGGAGAGCAAGGAGATAACAACTGCTCCCCAAAAAGAACACTGCTGCCCATCTGAAGTTCACCAACGAGGACACAGATAGCCCACAAGGCTTCTGGAACAATGTTCTCCGGACAGATGAGTCAAAAGTAGGACTCTTTGGCCTCAATGTGAAATGTTCATTTTGGTAAAACCCAAACAATGCTTTGAAACAGAAGAACCTTAATCATGAACCAAGCATGCTGGTGGGAGTGTGAAGTTTTGGGGAATCTTTGCTGCCTCAGGACTTGGATGGCTTCCTATCATTGACACAATCATGAATTCTGCATTTTATCAGACAATTCCTGAGCAGGATGTCAGTCCATCTGTCTACAACTTGAAGCTGAACCAAATGTAGATCTTGGGTATGACAAGTCATTTTAGGAATAAGCTATCAGAATTCATGGGAAACGAGAACTAAGGTACAAAGGGGAACCTCTAATAAATACACCTCTTAAATACAAATTTAAAAGATCTAAGTAACATGAAGCATAGGGGGAATGAAGAGTTTATACCTTTAAAATTATTGTATTTAAATTGTTGAAAAATACGTATCTCACTGCCACGCAAGGAGTTCATGTTTTGATCTACAACAGATTCATTAGGACTAAGAATACGCATGAAAACATTGAACATTGAAAACATGAAAAAAAAAATTCTGCTCACTGGTGTAACACAAGATATGACAAGAGATAACATACAATGGATATCAAAAGTCTGCACGCCCTTATTGGAATTTCAGTCAAATTGTGAAGGGAGCTGGAAACTAAGGTGCTACTTTGTGGGGGAAAAAGTGTTTTTGGAGGGATGGGTCTACAAAGACTTGCAAATGAAACACTATTTTAAAATATAGATCCACAGCAGAATTCCAATAGGACTGCTTTATACAATTCTACAATTTTCCTCAATTCTAGTTTAGATTTGATCTTATTTAAGATTAAGAGATCTGTGCATAAAGAAAGATTTTCCGATCATATTTGTGAGATTTTGTTGAGTCTCCACTGCACATGCATTAAACATGAGCCCAACATCCATGGAAGCTTTATTAAAGAGCAATCTAAAATTACTTTTGCCATGTAGGGTTTGAGTAGCTAATTATCATTATTATATTTTTTGGCTGATGCTTTTATCCAAATCGACTTCAATTTTCCATCACATTTCTACGACTGGGTATTTTAGTGGAGCAGTTCAGCCAGCAGTATCTCGCTCAAGAGAACAAAAGCAGTACCTCACCTGGGATTTGAACCCACAACTTTCCAGTTACATTATGAGTCCAGAACCCTAACCACTGCTCCAAAGTAATGTCCAATTATCAATTAGGTCAAAAGGAGTCTAATCGGTTATACAAAATGGACAAACTACTAAATTTTACTTTTAGCTTTGCTTACACAGACACCACTTTTATAAGCAGCAAGTTCAAAGTTTTAAATTAGAAAACGGTAATGTTTTGGAACTGATATTTAAGCTTTCAGGCTAACTGAAAATGTCCTATTAATAATAATGAAAAAAATACCACTCTAATACAGTTAAAAATAATATGTAATACATTTCCCTTTTACTAGAGCAGCTCAGTGCTGTTGTGGTTAGTATTGCTGTCTCTCAACACTGGGGCCCTGGGTTCAATTCCTGGGGTGTCGTCTGTGTTGAGTTTGCATGTTCTGCCCATATATGGGTGGGTTTCTTCCAGGTGCTCTGGTTTCTTCCCACAGTCCAAAGATGTGCTTCCAGGTTAATTGGCTTCTTGGGAAAATTGGCCCTGGTGTTAGTGTGTGCCCTGTGATAGTCTAGTGTCCTGTCCAGGGCGTATCCTGCCTTGTACCTGCTGCTTGCTGGGATAGGCTCTAACTCCCCTGTGACTATGCATTGAATAGAGCAGCTAGAAGATGGATGGATGGATGGAAATTCTCTTATTATTTTCATCTCCAATTCACAATAGGTTGCTTTAGTTTTCCCCCACTTACCCGAACCCCACTGGTTCTGTTGACTGAGTTATTTCCAACTGTACTGTAAAGCTGAGTATAAGCAAACCTCACAGTTACTGTTGCTTTTATGTTTCTGGTAATCCTTGCCAGAGCAGCAGCAAACATTTCAATCACAGCTTCAGGATATTATCTGAAAGACAGCACAAGAAGCACAGAATACTTTTACTCTTTTTACTAACATGAAGACATGGAAAAGAGAAAAGTCAGAATGTTTTTTTCATTTGATTCTATCTCGTCTTTCTCGCCAAGCTGGTGAATTGTTTTTTCAAGAAGTCCCTTTCTACAAGGACACTTGATATACACAGAAAACTAAACTGAAGTGTATATTAATTAACACCGCACCTCCTATTCGCTACCACTACCACATGTCAAAAAGTGTGACTTATGACTTATTTATATTACTTTCTTATAGGTGGGTAGCTGCATCAGCAACTAGAGGTGCACCTGAAGAAGGCTCCACGGCTGAAACGTTGTGTTTTCTTTCTTCTTTTTTTCAGCATGGAATAAACCTATTACTTGACTTTCTTATAGACGTTTTCTCTATATAAGAAAGAGGATTTTCTATACCTGAGGTGTGAAATGTTCCTGTTCCTGAGCCTCAAGAATTGTAAGGACCCAAATGGATCACTCGGATTCCTGTTTGAGATCCACAGCTGTACTGAATCTAATCTAAAGTGCAGTAAAGCTTAGTCAACTAGAGTAACATACTGACTAGAATATACAAGACTTTGCTCGTCCGAACACCTAAAACGTAATTGAAATGAATTTCAGCTTCAATTCAAGACTAAACAGACTAAACTTTAAAACTCACGTTGTTGTATCATAGATTTCAGAACACTGCAGCACTGTATTCTCCACTGCAGTGGAGTTGATGCCTGGGGCTTTTTCACCTATGGCTGATCTGACACTAAAGGAATTATATCATACAGTAGTACTAACGCTACTAAGAAGTAAACATTTCAGTGCTGCTTAAGAATAAACTTTTTTCTCCCTTAGGTAATTTAACAATTAAAGCGTGAGGACTTACAGAAAAAAAAACCGACACAGGGACAAATCTACATAGAAAACACGAAAAGTGGTAACAACGACACTTTAAAGAAATTTAAAGTGATCAAGGTCATGTATGAACATAACATAATTATTGTATAAGACAGAAAGCCCGATATGTGAAGTGGCTATGTCTTTAGTACAAACAAGCACATTCCATTTCAGCAATTTCACCGTATAGCAAAATCGCACTTATATATCTTTTAAGAACTCACCAATGGAAATTTAATCACAATACCATTTGAGACTGAGTGTTGTGTATTCCATTGGTTTTCTTTCAGGAGTATTCCTAAAACACTGATCAAAATGACTACAAGTCCCATGATGCTAATCGTCAATCGTTTGGGGAACAAGGCTTAAAACGTGCGGCAGCTGTTCTGGTAGTTGTAGTCCGGCAGAAACTCCCTGACGGAGCCCCGGGTGTCAAATACGTGAGGTCGTGATTGGCTGCTGTGTGAGTGTGGGCAGCTGCGGTTGGTTGATACTGGTTTCCGGGGTTCGTCGTTATTAGTGACGTTTCTGTTCCGCAGTAAGAAGAAGTGAGAGCGATGGCTGCCGGTGGAGGTTAGCGATTTTTGGATTGTTTGGGTTTAGTATTTTGAGCGTCTTCTGTACATTTCAAAGTTTTAAACTTCGATCAGCAGGGAATACTGATAAGTGATCTTTAAAAAAAAACAGCAAGTGTTGACATAAAGGGATTGTTTTTTTCTGCCACTGTGAGACTAATCCTTACACTCGACGCGTGTTAATTACAATCTGCTTTAGAGAAAGGAAAACATTGTATGAGCTTTAAAACCCATTGCACGATGTTACGGTAGCGGATGGTGTTGTGTGTCCCTGTTACATCGTTCTACCATGAATTTGATTTAGCTGTCAGGCTTTTTTTTATTGGGATCATCACTCAGAGTAACCTCAAATGCTTGCCTTTTGAAACGGGCTTTTTCTGTGCTTTTGAGCAGAAAAAGAAAAAGTTGTCCAAATTTCAATAGGACACGCTGTCGTACTTAAATTATCTTTTCAGACAAAAGCTTCGTGTAGGTTACTCGGCGGTATTCTGGCTGTCCAGCTTGCTCGAACCTTTATTTGGAAGATTCCGTGGTGTCGTCTGACTCTTTGTTTGGTTAGGTTGTACCACACAGGTTATATGGTCAAGAAAAGTAGGCTGTGAAATATTGGGGAAACATTCATTTTTTCGACAAAGATGTCATCCACGCCACATGACATAATCTGACTGATGTTAAATCTTGCAAAATGCAATTCAAAGTTTTTAAATACCTCAGTGTGTTTCGAATTTAATTTCCAAGTGTATTGTAATTGATGACGTCTATACGTCTTTCTCTGTGTGTTTTTTTTTTAATAGTTAATTTAGAAAAAGTAAGCCTTCCGAAGACGTCTTGAAGTAGATTCGTTCAGAACATATAAAGTTGCCTTATATGTTGCTGTGGTGTATCAACATGTTTAGAGTACAGCCAGCGAACAACGAGTTCCACAGTAAGCAAAGTAATCTTAATAATTATTTAGTTTTGAAATTTATAACAGATTTGTATTTATAGTAGGAATGATGCAATATTTCGGTGTTACTTTATTCCGTGCCACTTATGATTGGAGCTATATCGATCATGACAGTCAAGAACTTTAAAGCATAGTATGGTGGCTTTTTCTAAATTTTAATTAATTCAACTTTGCATTCTCAATATTGCGTTTGGTTTTTTAAACCGAATACATTCTGGGTGTAAGTTGCTGGAATATGCACTATATTACATCGTAAAGTGTGATTAACGTCAGTATTTTAGTACTAATAGGGCACAACGCTTTAGGCAGAAAGTATTGACCTTCAGTGTTTGGAAGAACATCTAACTTGACCGGATTGTGAACTTTTCATTTCATGTTTATGTAGTTTTAATGTCTTCTAACCAATTTGAGTAAATCTATATTATGCCTAACACTTAAGAGCTCTGTGTCTAATGTGCTGTAAATTGGCTGATTACATCAACAGAATCAGACATTTAGCACATGTTTCTCCAATATTGTTCTCCAGAGCTCCAGTGCAGCAGGTATAATATGCTCTATCACATTGGGGGAAATTCCAACTTTAGAACAATTTACTTGTGATCAATTGCAGATGATTCGTTCCTAATGTAGATATCAAGAAAAATCTACCAATCAGATTACTTCAGTTAAAATACTTGATTGATCAATAAGCAACGTGTTACATCTTCCTAGTTTTTGGGGTGAAAACCTCAGATCTTTGGTGTTTAACGCTGATCTTATTCTTCAAAGGGGTAATGGACTGAAGATCAATTAACTAATTTCTCCATTGATGATTAAATATGTATTTTAAGCTAATATCACTCAGCTGAAACCTTCATTGAGCACACAGGTTAATCTTTTGTTAGTATTTGAAACTGTAATTTTCTGGTTTCTTTTTTCAGATATAGGCAAGCTTTTACAGAATGGGACTGCTGCCAACTCCAACTACAATGGAATGGACCCCCTCCATGCATGTAAAATTCTCCAGCAGCTTAAATCTTTGTATGACGAAGGGCAGCTGACGGATATTGTGGTGGAAGTGGATCATGGAAAAACATTCTCCTGTCACAGAAATGTCCTTGCAGCAATTAGTCCTTATTTCAGGTATGAAATATTACTGTAAGCCCTTTTATCTTGCTTCTGCCAATATCCAGATCTAAGTAAGAAAAATGCAGTTTCTTTGTACGGCTTCTAATTTGTAATTGGCTTTGGAAAGGTTTAACTGTTCTTATGCAATCAGCACATACTCAGTAATACCCTGCTGAGAAGTTTTATTTAGTCAAGCATTTGTGCACAAAGGTGGAGAGTGAATGTATAATAAAATTGAATAAAGACTTGTAAAACTGTGTAGTTCACTTTATAGTTTTTCTCAACAGACAATTGTATAGAAGTGTAATGAGTGCATAAGAGAGCATTTATATAGAATGGCCATACCAATGAGACAATTGTGTAAATTATCCTAATGTCATTTTCATTTTTTGAATGTTTTGCTGTACAAAGTGGGTGTTGATACTCCTAACTACAGTGTCATTTTTTTAGGTCTATGTTCACCAGTGGCCTTACTGAAAGCACCCAGAGAAAAATTAAGATTCTTGGAATTGAGTCAGAATCAATGCATCTTGTACTAGAATATGCATATACCTCCAAGGTCACACTGTCGGAGTCAAACGTCCAGGCTCTGTTCACTGCAGCTAGCATCTTCCATATACCATCCCTGCAGGACCAGTGTGCCCTGTTCATGATCAGCCGTTTGGACCCTCAGAACTGCATTGGGGTCTTCATGTTTGCAGATGCTTATGGACATCAGGAGCTCAAAGAGAAATCTCAAGATTACATCCGCAAAAAGTTTCTCTGTGTTGTGAACGAGCAAGAGTTCCTCCACATGACCAAGGAACAGCTCGTAAGCGTCCTTGACAATGATGATCTGAATGTGGAGAAAGAGGAGCATGTCTACAACAGCATCATTAAGTGGCTGGAACATGACAGAGACAGAAGGGAGGCGGATCTTGCAGAAGTGTTTGCCAAATGCATTCGGCTACCTCTACTGGAAGACTCTTTTTTAAAGAAAATTCCCCCTGTATTTGCACAGGCTTTGGAAAAAGAGTGGGCAGATAAAGGGAAGTTTAACGGTACCAACGGCTGCCCGCTGAGGCTGGGAATGACAGCCTTGGAAATGATCATATGTTTTGATGCAGCTCATAAACACTCAGGAAAGAAACAAACAGTGCCTTGTCTGGACACCATTGCAGGGAAGGTGTTCAAGCTATGCAAGCCACCTAATGATCTGAGAGAGGTGGGGCTATTGGTGTCATCGGAAAATGACATTTACATCGCAGGGGGTTACAGGCCAAGCAATAGTGAGGTCTCTATTGACCATAAAGCAGAAAGTGATTTCTGGATGTACGAGCATTCAGGAAACCGATGGATACCCAAGTCTCCCATGCTGAGGGCACGGATAGGATGCAGGTTGGTTCACTGCTGTGGCAAGCTTTATGCACTGGGGGGGCGCGTCTATGAAGGAGACGGACGCAATGCACTCAAATCTGTGGAGTGCTATGATTCCAGAGACAACTGCTGGACCTCTGTTAGCGCAATGCCTGTTGCCATGGAGTTTCATAGTGCAGTTGAATACAAGGACAAGATCTTTGTTTTGCAAGGTGAGTTTATCAACTTTAGAACACTTAGTGTGTTGTGTAGTAGGTTCTAGACTGTGGGTGTGTTGAGTAAAAGGTCCACACCTGCAGTGTAAAGGAATGGCAAGATAACTTCGGGTACTTTGTATACTTGAAACATTTCTGGGCTTAACATGCATTATTATTAAACAGTATTCAAGTATAAACGTTTAGAAGATGGTTGGAATTTCAATAGTGACTTTTGGAATCATTTTTGATCTTGTATGACAATATAACCTACCTTCTGGATTGTAAAAGAAACATGGTCATTGATTTTATCAGGATATTTAGATTTGGGTACATCAAATGGGGAATTTTCTTCCAACATGTTTGGAATATTAATAGTAAGCTTTTAACTGGTCTAAAATATTTATATAAATGGTGTTATTTATATTGTTGTTGCCTGAATCTTATCAGTACGGATCATGTTAACCAGCCTCAATTTTGTCTTAAGATCTCTGCGGATTTCTTACTCAAATTCAAAATTACATAGCTGTTCTTTTGGTTTCCATGGAGTTGTCAGCATTTTAACCCTTTGCCAAGAGCTTGAACTTAGTTTTGACGTACTGTAATTAAACGTCAAATTCGATGTACTTAAGAGGGTTTGTTCTTTCTCCAATAGCTTTAAATTGGTGTAGCATGTAACTTAGTGTGTTATATGTCCATTGTGCATTAGTATCATTTTAGAAGAAGAGACTGAAATGTTGCAGTGCAGCATTAAGTAATGTAACATTTGTCAATCCTCTTTTGAATAGGAGAATACTTCTTCTGCTATGATCCTCGCAAGGATTACTGGGGCCACCTAACTCCAATGCGTATCCCTAGAAGTCAAGGACTGGGGGTGGTATACAAGAACTGCATCTACTACATTGCTGGTATCTGTAAAAATCATCAGCGTACCTTTGTAGTTGAAACCTATGACATTGAAAGGAATATGTGGATTCGGAAGAAGGATCTTCCATTTGACCAAGCTACCAGCCCTTACATTAAAGTCTTGCTTCTCCACGGCAAGTTGCATTTGTTTGTGAGGGCTACCCAGGTCACTGTGGAGGAGCATGTCTTTCGAACCAGCCGGAAAAATTCGTTGTACCAGTACAATGAGAAGACAGACCAGTGGATTAAGATGTATGAAACACCTGACCGCCTTTGGGATCTTGGCCGCCATTTTGAATGTGTTGTTGCCAAACTGTATCCACAGTGTCTTCAGAAAGTTCTGTGAGAGCAGCAGGGGGATCTCTGTGTATGTTGTCTGTGAGGGATGTGTGGTTTTGCGAGTTTGTGTGTGCCTGGTACTGTCAGTATTTGCAATCTGACGAGTCTGTAGTCTTAAGCATTAAGGATTCAAAGTCAAGAATGATGGGTGCTCTTAAAGCTTGCAGTATTTTAATTAATCCAGTCACTACTAAGTACTTTGACCAGTGTTTCACACTGGTGCAAGGATTCATAAGTGCAATTATCATCTTGTCTGCTATGTGTGTTGAGCCATTTTATTAAGTAGCATTTTAAGAGGCTACGATTTGTCACTCGGTTAACATGCAGCTATGCAGGAGGAACATCAACATGGTGAAATGTCAAGTATACGGGTATGAGCAGCTCCGCTGGTCATTGGTGACGTTTGGTGGTTGTTTTTGACCATACACGTTAGTTTGGTATGTCTCTTAAAATGACCTTGTCTTGACTGTTTTGTTAATTTTACGTTTAAAAAAATATTCTATTTGCTGGCAGAAATTGCTGACATGTGCAGGATATTCACAAGAGGCTTCTGTAATTCTTCTGGGTTTAATGGCACAAATTTATATTAAATACATTTGAATATTGCATTTCATGCATTTAAATTTAGGTAGGGATGAGCTGGGGGTGTGTCTTAGAAATCAGTGCATGTAATATGGAATTGACTTTCGTGTCTGAAGCAATTTGCTTTGCAGTTCTTACAGTTCTGTTCAGTGTTTGGTGTTTATGCTCAGACATGTAGGCTATGTGCTGTATTTTGTGAAATCAAACTGAGAGCGTGCACACATGCCCCCTAATAAAATCTGTTTGGTACTGTGATTGACATCTGCTGTCTTCTCTATGCAGTGTAGGGGTTACTTAAGGCTGAAGCATTTTCCCTTATCCAGCCAACTTAAAAACTGTTTAGGTGTGTTACCACTTTTATTCCTGCACATAAAGTGATGATCAATCTGAATACCGTGAAGAATCTCTGAGAGACTTAATTTCATCGAGTACTAGAGTTTGGCCATCTGTGTGCTGTGGGTTTTACAATGTAGTTGGTCTTCTCTGTGAGAGGAGTGGTTAACGTTTCCTAAAATATTTGGCTTGAAATTGTAATGGCGGCAAAAACGTTTTTTTTAGCACATTTAACCTAGCATTTAGATTCTTCCAGTCATGATGTTTCTTTATTTTTTTTTTGAAGTTCTTGGACTCTTGGAGGCATTTTAAAGGCTTAAAAAACTGAAGGATGAGTTTGTAGTGGCAATAATACAAATTCATTAAGGTGTAGCGTTAACGTGGTAAAGAGCATTATTTCTGATAGTGGTTGCAGATTTTTTTTTTTAAATTGACTGTTGTATTGTCAAAGGCAGTCTGTTGTAAATTCTCTACTAAACTTTGATACTTGGTATTATTTTATGCATGTTAGAAAATCATTGTGCCTACTGATAAATGCAGAAATTGCTCAAACCTTGTGTTTTAAATTTAACATTGTCCAGGATACATTTTGTGTACCTCCAAAGTCCTATTCATTCCTTATACCGCTACCTTTTCTAAAGGGTTGTGCTGCAAACTTTATGAAGCACCCTTCTTAATATTACCAGAGACGTTCTTGAAGTGTTTGTGTCTCTTTACAACATGTTCAATGTATCAAGTTGATTTAAAAAGTAAAACATTTTGGTGCTGCTTTTGACAATCTTTTGTATTTATAGAGTAGAGCATTTAATTGTATCTAACAGATATGACTAATAACCTAATCCTTCATTCTAATGTTATGACATTTGAAACTATCTGCTTTAGTTTTGTTCATGAGAACAGGTTTTCCTTTATTTTTTGCACTACATTTGTGTCATGAAATCTGATGCTTTCCAAAAAGACACAGTCTTAGAAGTGCTGTTGAAGGTTGGTCAGGTTGTGCCCAACACCAGTGTTCATTTACTGGGACTCTTTATTAAAAAAAAAAATGTCTTAGTGTAAGTGTTCCAAGTAACATGGGCTAGGACAGCTCTTTGGTGGATGACTTTGCCTGGCAAAATGACTTGGCTTCCTCATGCTAAGCTGACGAAGCCCTTGAGGTTTTATTACTTAGTCTTTGGCAGGTACAACTTGAGCCCATTGTAACTTACAAAGTTATTCAAAACTTAAGCAGGTAGGAAACTAATCATTTGTTAATACATTTAATACCTTTTGATTATTGCATTTTGTGAAGCGGGACTTAACTTCTGAAAGTGTGGATCTGGCCGTGTGTACAGTACTAGTTAAGCTGGAAGCCTTGTAGTATGATATACGAAATGGACAATTCTCAGGATTATACCAATACACAGTACTGTATTTAAATAGGTTTCGTTGTGATATACTGTAAAATGTTTGCTGTTCTTGCACAGTTTTTTTTTCCTTCTTCACTTTTAGGATTGGTTTTTTTTTTTTTTTTTTCTTTGTTTTGCTTGTTTATTGGGGGGGGGAATGGTTTGCTATGTTGAAATATCCTATGACAAGATTAAGGTATGTAGAGTTGTCAAAATATTTTTTGCCATAATTTTACACAAAACAATACTAAGCGGACTTTTCCGAGATGGGATCCGAACTGAAAAGGTTCTGTGATGCTCTAAAACATGGTGTGTAAACAAATATTGTAATGTTATTCACATGCTCCAAATGTGACTTTTTAATGCTGTGTATTGCTTGCATTTTTTGGTGTAAAAGGATTGGATTTTGAGGTATACTGAACCATTCAATGCTTGCAAACACTGTTGACCACCAGTGAGGAATGAGTGGTGAAATATCTGTGCTTCCTAGAAGCTTTTTTCATTTTGAGGGTGGGGAATGGGGATACATTAATAAAGCTCTACTGTGAAATCAATATTGCACATTTTTCAGAATAAAAGTGAACATAAATCTTGCTTTACTCTGAACTTATTTTTCCCCGAGGGTTCAAATTATTATTTTCTGTAATTTTATAGCACAGTTCTCAATTTTTGTCATGAAAACCTACGCCCAGTGAAGCCGTGAGGTCCAGACATTGCCGAGTCAGTTGCGGGACCAACGTGTAGGTACAGTGCCTGTGGGTGTAGGTGAGCACTAGAAGCTGGGAGAATCTTGGCTAACCAGTCAGACTCATTCCTGGGCTTGGTCAGTCATCTGCTCTCTGGCGGTAAAGTTAATGCAACACGCGTATCTCCTATGATGTACTGTGAATCTTGCAGCATTTGCAAGGAGTAGTTCAGACAGATGGGTGTGTCAAAAGTATAGGTAAGGTTTATTTTTCTTCCTCACTGAAACAGGTGCTGTAGTTGTAAAACTGAGCCACAAACATCCACTCCAAACTTCTCAACATCAAAACGAAATGTTGCAGATGTGAGGACCATCTTATCTGGTAGTAATAACTAAATTATTTTCCAATTTCATTCAGCTATAATTAAGCACCTGTTCTAGGTACCCACAACACTTAATGTAAAGAAACATTTTTTTTTTCTCCTCCTTCCACATTTCCTTGAAGTTTTAAATTGTGACCCAGGTCCTTGTTCCACTGCTGAGTCTACAAAGTCATCATAGAAATTTGGATCACATTTTGGGATTCCTTTCGTGTAGACTGAAGATGTTTAGTTTTAACTGTATAGGGCAATGCGCTCCTGAGAAAACAATTATTCTTGGTCCCCCAGGATTATAATCTCTTGGTACGATGAACAAAACTGAATGGGGTTTTAAACAAGGTCTTGTGGTGCAAGCTTGAGCACAACATCCTTGAGTTGCACACCTTTTGTGACGTGTCCAAGCAGTGTCTGCCCCTTTTGTTTTTCACTTCCCACATTGTCAGGTGGGAAATTTTAAATAAATCTAAAGCTCTGGATCACTCATGTGAAATGTAAAGTATGTTTCTACTTTCCAAGTGGATTGTTTGGGGTTTGACAGCTGTGGGCGCAATCCACAATTAGCTTCACTTTTCGTAATTGCTTTGTCATCATTTCCGTTTGTCTCTCTCCCTGTTTTAAAGCACTAAAACAATATACCTCAAAGCGTTTCTAGAGAGCTTCATCTGTATTTTGTCCTGGTAGTGCTGTTTTTGTCAGCCCCAGTTGAACAACTTTTGAAATGTACAAAATTAAAAATGATTTTTTTTCAAAAACTGACTAAAAGTTTACTTTTTCATGTGAGCAGCAAATTGGTAAGTTGCATTATGAATGAGGGTTTTAAAATGGTAGCATCTGTTACATTTTGTTTAAGCTATATAACCTAGTGACTCAGAGGATCATTCTCTGGGACAGCTGGACTATCGCATTATCCAATAGGTTTTGTTTCCAAATCTAGTAAAACTTGGCAACAGTTGTTGCTAGTATATACTTTTATGACCTACAGCGTCTTCACAAAAGGGTTTCATATATTGCTTTATCAATAATGTGTGCCACACAGCCTAAGAAAATATTTACACAAGACCGAACGTTTAAATGTATAAGTTTTCAGCATAGGCACTATACACTTAAAGAACACTTACCAGTCTTCCTTTCAAGTTCTGCATTGTTGCAGCCCTTCTGTACTTTTTATGGTGATGAATGTCCCACTTTTCAAGTCTTCATTTCTTCGTGGGCTATTCCCATTTGTTTTGCCCCTAAAAAAAATAGTCATGAGTTCGGATGTGCAGAATATGACAGCCCTCATCAGAGCTGAATGAATTTAGTCAGATCTCGTTTCCTGTCGAAGAAATCCTACACTACTTACAATCTGAGTATCCTAAAATGAGAATTATTTCTTGAAAAGCCTGTACAAATACCTA